TGAATGTCAGATCACTATTCATTATATCTACTATAGTTAATGATCAATATTCAACAAATATGTTGTTGAAGGTTAATGCAAAGAACAGATGTCTCGCATAACTCTCCTAGACGGTCTGAAGTATCTCCAATCATTGTAGTTGTTAGTTCAAGGAGGCGGCCCCTGATTTCAACATATATGACATCAATAAGAACACAGTCATCCAAGGTTGAAATGATTGATTCTTTATTTAAGACAACATAGGAAATGATGATAATGCATAATCTAGGAGTTGCCTATTGACTTCTATACGAGTTATGGGATGAGAAAACTAGATCAAATCATTATTTTTAAAAATGGAGTGAGTCTTAGTTCAATCAAATTCTAAATATTGAGTTGGATAAGATTATTGAGGCTTGCAAGCTTCTTAATGAATAGTAATCGTGCACCTAACACGCCACCTACGGGCAAATACAAAGGGGCTACAATAAACACGAGTACCTACTAGCCATCATAGAAGACCCATCAAATGTCTAAAACATCCATGCACATGCATTATAATATATATGCACATAGGTATACATAAGAGGATGTATCATACACCCATATGGCCCTCGGTGATCTTGTTACGGTACGGGTATATACATGGCATCTAGGGATGCTGCGCAGGTCAATAAATAAACCCTAGTTTGAGCCCGATTCTTCTATATGGGTAGATAGGAGTCGACACAGATCGAAGCATTAAATAAATATGTATTGTAAGTTCAACCGGGATATTTATTTTATACATTCATATTAGGCCTTCAATAAATAAAACTCACCAATAAAGACTAAAGCCTATGGACCCAATCCTCTATCGACCAGTAAACAGAGTCGACAAGGTCCAATCAATAAAATTTTCAAATGCACATAAACACCCCGATAATGGCCATGTTGAGCGTAGATCTCAATCGGAGGGATTAACTCCAACAATTTGAAATGCCATCCAAAAATCCTAGAAAATTTCAAAAATACCAAAACCCCAAATATTTAAAATTGAAATTCAATCATCTATATATTTAAAACACAAAATCCATCCACCCGTCGCAACAGTTTGTCGAGGTGAATAAATTCGCAAATACTTCATCTCACATAGAGTTAATGTCTTGTCAAAAATAATACTAGGATTCCTTCTCAAATAGTCTCTTATCAATAAGGACGTAGCACATATCCTTTAACTGGCAATTTTGCTGTCAAATGGCACCGCGTGATAAATGGTTATAATCGGGGTCCTCTGAACCGGGTGGTTTGCTATCAAATTGCATCACTACATCAAGGTTATGACCAAAGCCTATATACTTCCCAATGGCATCAAATTCTTGAGATATGAATCAATAAGATATAATCGATAGGGTATAAAGCCCTATGTTAGCTAAGGTGGATTCAAATTTGTCCCCTTAGACAAACATCCATCCAAAATCTACAAGGTACCTTTAAACGAAGCAACTTATGGCTACCGACAAGGATCCTTCAATCGGGTTGGATCGACTACATCTAACTAAGTAGACTAGAACCAAGATGGCCCAGGATGACAGAATCATGGGATCTTGATCGAGTCCATCATCCATTCCCCCCACCATCCATTTTAAGTGCAAGATAGTGAAATTTTTAATTTTAAATGCCAAATTTTCAAACAACCATGTCCATGCTGCTACTACAAGTCAGATTCTATGTATTTCTACATATATGATTGACGACTAGTCTTCACTGAAAGTTCTCTTTCTTTGTCAGGAGGGCTAATTAACTATAGGTTCTTGTGCCTATAGGAAAGTAACAGGGGAGGCTAGGGCCAAATTTTTTGAGCCCACTGACAAGTAGACAAAGTCAATAATATTCAATCAACAAAAATGAAATAATCCATAGAATCTGATGATGACCTTGTTGACAGAAAATCCCAACTAGAGGAAACAATAAATATTTAAAAAAAATGCCTCCCAAATTCTTAAATGCTCATGAAAATCCAAAATTTTAAAAATCACCCCAAAATCAAAATATTTAAAATATAAAAAACATCAAAATACTTAGACCAAAAATATCCATCCATTATCTGCAATAATTTTTTGAGGTGGATGAATATGAAAATCACTTCAATTCATAAAGAGCAAATATCTAGTTAAGAATATCACTAAGATTCATTATCAATCCATCTCTTGTTAGTAAGGATGTGGCACATATCTTCTAACCAATTGTTTCACCGCTAAATGGCTCCATATGTAAACAGTTATTACCGAGACACTCTAATCGGGTGGTTTTGCCATCAAATGACACTATTAAATTACAATCATAGTAAAAACTTGTATGTTCCCAAACGGCGTTAAATCATTGAGTAATGAATCAAAAAGATATGATTGAGGGCATAATAGCTAAGGTGGATTAAAATTTATCCCCTTAGACAAATATTTATCCCAAGTCTACAATGTATTCTTGGATGAAGCAACTCATGGCTGCAGATAATGATCTTTTTTGTTAGGTTGTGTCGACTGCCTTCTCTAACTAAGTAGACTAAAGACCATAATGATCCAGGATGACGGAACCATGAGATCTTAATCGCGACTATCATCGTTACCCCCACCATCCATTTTAAGTGCAAGGTGGTGAAATTTTTAATTTTAAATGTCAAATTTTCAAATATCAAATCATGCTGCTCTTATACACCGGATACTACATATTTGTTTGACGACTAGCCTTAATCAAAAGTTCTCTCTCACTATAGAGGAGTAATTAGCTATAGGAGCTTGTGCCTATACGAAACCTGAACTCATATCATAAAGTCCTCACAAAATGAGAGAGAAATCTCTAGGTGATGTCTTATTCACAACCCAGTTTTTTTTCTAAAAATGTTCCTTGGAACTTAAGCATTAAAAGTCTCCTCGACGACCCAAAAAAGACAGAAAGGGGATGCGAAGAGGTTGGGGTGTGAATTTTCGAAGTCTACCTAGTGCTTTGACACTCCTTCAATTTTGAAAATTTTAATTTATTTCCTACATAAAAAATAGGATTAACTAACATTTTTATAACAATAAATATAATTTAGAATGTAAAATTTTTTGCTTATTATAATTCCCCCAAATTATGAATTTCATACCATTTGAATGTCAGCAAGTATTAGCTCAAAATTATTAGCTTGGATATTGGGCCTATTGATACTTTGTTGAATGCTATCATGGGATTTGCATACTCTCCAAGTGGTTTGGGTTAGTTCTTTTCTTGCACTGGGACAACTATCTTGAAGTCTTTTTACTATTTTTTAGATTTTTATCCTATACTCACTCTAGTGCTGCTTATATGAATTATCATATTTATCATATCTGTAAAATTATAAAGGTACGCTAATGAAAGATATCAACTATGGTTTCGAAAAGAAAATTATATTTCTAAGATACTTTAAACCTATAATAGTTAAAAACTCAGTAGTGCAAAAGTTAGATCCCTCTTAATGTTATTGTGAATCAGACCAAAAAATACTCGTCTCTGTTAAGCTCATTAGAGTATCTAGCTAAGATATATAATTCCAAGACTCTATCCACCATATTTCTAATGTATAGTAGAATTTCATTTTAAACCTCATAATTGTTCTATTACTCCTCCATCGAGGCTATAGATCATACTGAGTTCTAAATTTTTGTTAGGTCTATACATAAACTAAATCACACGTGAAAAGTTTTAAGAAAATTAAAGATTCATGCAATTTAGATTTATCTTAAGCAAACATGGGTTTTAATGTACCATAAGCCCAAAGATATAATTTATGTAGCCAAAAAATTAAATAAGCAAAATATGATTCATTTCAAAAAAAAAAAAAAAAAATCATACAAGAGATAAGTTGAGGATAAATAAAACTAGAAAGTTCTTTATAACATGATTACAAACTCTCCTTTAACTAGAATTAACTTCATTTGCTTGATCTCCCTCTTTCTCTTCCCTTAGACTCTACTTATACTTATTACAAATGAACAAATGGCAAGCCCCCTTCAAAAATTTGCCAAAACTATTTGAAACATTTGCAAATTGTTGAACTGGAATTGCAGTGCTGACCTGGGTAGCTTTACGGCGTCACTTAATCAACGTGTTGGTTCTTCAATCATCGCATCAATTCATTGATTCAACAATCAGTCACTGACATCCGTTGTGATATTGTGCCAATTTGGAGTTATGGTGTTCTATCTATGACGCTTTGGCGCTCTATCTATGGCACTGCGGTGCTCCTTCAATTAATGAATTTGCTACTTCTTTCCTGCATAATAAAAGATAGATTTAGATAGCATTTTTATGAAAACGGATGTAATTTGGATAATGTAGTTTTTTTCAGTTATCAATGACATCCTTCGCGCTCCCTTGCAAAGCCTTCCCTAATAAGGATCACCTCCTCAATAACTATGATAGAGGCTCATTGCCCCCTTCTATTTTTGAGCTGCCAGACATTTGAGAACTTACCTTCTTAGCAAGAACTAATTCAAACGTTTCGCTCTCCATAACATGTACTGCAGACACCTCAGGCGCCACCTCACTTTTAACCCCTTTCGTAGGAGGGGTTGCTTAGCTCTGTCCCTGTAATGAGATTATATATGCCCATATTCATACATGTATATTTATCTAAATAAATATAATGAGATTATATCTTATAGTTTATATAATACTTTCAAATTAACTATATCTTCATAATTAACTAATGTTTGACTCAATGAAAAAATGAGTTAAGAAAATACCATTTACTTGATGATGAGCTAAGCCAAATAACTGCTGATCTCACTCGAATTAAAATAATTTACATCCCTATCTGAAAATTGCAAAACAGTCGGTAAAACAGTGATGTCAATAGGCCAACTCCACAAAGTCTGGAAAATTCATGTTATTTTGATTATATATGCGGAAGCATACAATAAGAACAATTGAGAAAAAAAAAATGGTAATTCATAGAACATACATTTTAATAGAGATGAAGCTAATGATAATGATTGTGATGATTGTAAGAGCTTAACGCGAGAACCATCAAAACCTGTGGAAATCAAACTTAACAGAGATTTGGCAGTTCTTTCCCTTTTCCATCTTAAGAAAATAAGTCAAATGGAGCAACGGACAGAGAAGGTCCAGAGAGCAAACACTAAGAAAATATGCTGAGAAAATACATGAGAAACCAATACATAACAAATAAATTGGCTCCACGCCTGGGAAACCATGTTCTTGTAAAGCAATAACTAGGCAAGATATCGATACAATTTACGGTCTGCCTTGTCCCTCTCTAAGAACTCCCTTTCGATCAGTGATTCGATCCGTTTCTTGATCACGACGGGATTGGGAAGGAACCTGGACTGTAGCTGCTTTGTCACCTCTGCTACGATATTATTGTGATCGAGAACTCGCCGGGACTTCATAATCCTCACAATGGCAGCCTCAATCTGAGGCTTCCTGTCCTCCTCTACCCTTTGACGAGTCTCTTGTTTCTCAGGTTCCGACTCCTTTTGCGCTACCACTGTACCAATCTTCACTTTGAAGAACTTGCTGGAGAACTTGTCATTGACCATGAAAGTATCATCTTCAGCAATATCTTTGCTCATGGGATCCTTGCCGAGTACATTCTTACCCTTGACACATGCCAAAGACTGAAGACAGCGTTTCAGATCAGATGCTGGGATCTCAGTGGCCTGCTCAATTTCTTTGTAAGTCAATCGATCTGAAGAATTGAATAACATCAAAATGCACATCTGATAGGTAGAGACGTTAAGCTCATGCTTCTGATTCTTGCCAAAGGTTGCTTTCATGTCGGCAGTGCCCATATTAGTTTGCCATGTTAACCTTCTGCCTGTGTGAGTGCCTAAGTAAAAGGTTCGGAACCTCTCGCATACACCCAGAATCTCAGGCGGAAGGTTGCATGGCGCAATAGGTTGGGTCGGCCAAGACCCAGTTGTGAGAACTTGGACTGCTAGGCTGGGACCATCCGTAGAATCAGAAGCTGATTGACTTGCATAAAAACCTTGCATTGTATCCTGGGAGGTTTTCATATCTGTAAACATGCCTTCTAATTTGGAAGTAAACTGATAACCACACTCCGTTTTCAGCTTAACAATCAGACTTCTCTCAGCATCATCAGAAACGGTTTTCCCAGAAAGGAGCCGCTTGGCCAAGTGCTGCTTGTAATATTTTTCAAACACATCTTTCTCTTGCAGATACCGGAATAGCATCATGACTTTGTCAAGGACCATCTCCACATCCTCTTCACTGACCTCTTTTAGGCCTTTCCGGAGCTTGTCATCAACATATAGTGAAATAAATTCAGGAGACCGGTTGTTCAGATTGATGAAATACTCAAACGATGAGTTCAGAGCATTTTGGAAAGTCTTGTCATTATTAAATGCGGCACTTATGATCTTGTCATGCTTGTCTTTCTCATTGAGAAGGCGTTGAACAAAGTCAACAGGATCCCTCAGTTTATCTGGATCAGTTACTAACTGCTTTCCTGTTTCTCGGAGATGGGAGGTCATCACCTCTCTAATTGTTGAGAGCCCTTCAGGAACTCGACGGAACAAGTTATACATTCTGCTAAGATCATCATACTTGTCATCCACAAGCATATTAACAAGACCAGAGTTGTCCATGTGGACCAATCTTTGCATGTGATTTGCAATCATCTCCGTTTCAACGACATGTGTTATTTTAGATTCCGTCTTTGCATCTAGATATTGAGAAACTCTCTCCATCTCTTCATTAAGCCGCCTCTCAGCTTTATTCAGATATTCCCCACAATCACAGCATTCGATGAACTGCTGAGACTCGCCACTGTAAAAGCTAGCTGAAACTTCAAGAAAAGGCTTCTCAAAATCTTCTTGATACACAGAAGAACCTAGATCCATCAACATTTTCGTTATATTCCTCATCAATCCACGGTTTATTACCTCACCAGTCCGCTCTTTCTGAATTAGTTCTAGAAGTGTGCTGACCAACCTAGTTTGGATCTTACTGGACCGAACAATGTTCTCTCTCCATAGATTCAATCCGAGCTCGTGAACAGGCGTCTTATGAGAGCTGGGAACAAAGGTCCTATCCATGTACATCAATATGTCTCGGATCATCTGCAACGCCTTGTTGTGATCAGCCCATTTTCTGTTAAGCTCTTCAAGAAAGAGACCACCCTGAGCAGCCTCAATAGATTTTGACATCTCCTTTAGATGCCATGTCATTGTAGTCACAAGCCCTGCGTACAGCTTTTCACCATACTTGTGCAGCACCATATTGTAAGCATTCCTAAATTCAGTAGGTTAACTTAGAAAAAATGTAATGATAGAATGCTAAAAGACATACCTATACATTAGAAACAAACCCTTTTGTCATTCTTTACTATGAAAACAAAACCATAAAACTTGACTGCCATATGTAATTACCGGACTCTGGTCCATTGAACATGACCAAATCTGATGAGTTACAATTATGCAAAATAAAGAATCATGAGATAGCTTGAGCTTATACTTAGCAGCGAGTGCACCTTGTTTGAGGCTTGCGTGGGGCATGTTGAGCTTATGGATGCGGCATCAGTGCACCTTATTTGACGACTATGTTGGTCACATTGTGCTCATAGAAGCTGTATCAGGGAAGACATAAACTATGACTAAAATGAAACATCAGGCTTAATTATACCACCCTAATCACAGGCCATCTAAACTTCCAAAGTTGCCAGGACTCCTCAACAAAATAAGAAATAATAGTGATACTATCAATGTTTTTTTTTTTTTTTCCTTCTTTCTGTTTAGACATTGAGCCCTTTAAGAACTCATTTAGGATTCAAACAGATAAAGAATGGCTAGCTGAAGAGAGGTGAAGTTTTATGCATTGTTTTTTATTGATAAAATGAACGACTAATTCAAGAACAATAAAAGAGAGTCAAGTATTTTGTATTCGGTCACATTGTCAACCATAAAATTGCTTGATCATTACATATATGAAAATTTCACAAAAGCACATCTGCTTTTGGCATAAAGCACGGTAGTTCTGAACTGAAGTGTTCCAGCATCACAAACCCAAACTAAAATGTAATCCCCGTGTTAAAAGAACAAGAAGATTGCAAATTTGCAAGGTACTTGAAAGATATCATTATATCTTATTTCACTATCAATGACCTAAATGTATTTAAACATTTGCTAAGCCATTTTATAATATTGGATTTAAATTAACCCATGGGCGATGCCTGAGCCATATTAGCAGGTCTTTACATGATTTTAGTTAAATGAAGAGTCGAGAAGAAGAAAAGAGATCAAAATAATCGGAGAGCCTGCGGAGAGAAGCTTTGAGATTTGCTTTCAGTATAATGTGCATAATAACTACATCTCCTTGACATGTCCCCAAACCTAGTGCTCTGACGCTCTTATGAGTCAGATGAGTATCTTTGAAGCTCAGGTTTTCTTAGCTGAGCTAGTATTTAGGAAATTTGGGTGTACACATCATGTCAATGCAAAAAAAATTATCAATTAGTATAAATTATATGTAATATCAATAATATTTTAATAATGTAAGGCTTTCTATGCATATAGTGTAATATAAATTAAAATCTTAAGAAGAATTATAGCATATGCATAAACATGTAATAAAAAAGATTTGATTATATAGGATTAAGAGTTTAACTCAAATCAAATATTGCTTAAAAATTAGAATATTTGTTGTTAGAATCTAAATCAACAAGCCAACTAGCAAGCCAGGATTGCTTGAAATGAACTCGGATTGAGTGAGTCATGGATGAAATTGAGGTTGTATCGAGATAGGATTAAATTGAGCTAGATAGATATTAGATCAAAATTTATATTCATGAATACTTGAATTGCACTTACAACATGTGTATAAATTTATATCTACTTATATGTGAATTAATGCATACATGCATGTATCCTAGAAAGTTAGGATGCCAATATACATGGTTGATAATAATTCATCCTGAAAGATGGAAAAGCATTTGAAAGAAAAATGGCTTTGGCTTGAATTGAGCTCAAATCAAAACTAAAATTATCATTTAATATAATGATAAAAAAAAAATCAAAACTATAATCCTATAGCTCAAATCAAGATCATATTAAAATACCCTATAGAATGGAGATGAATGGAGGACGACACTCAAAACAAAAGATGGGCTATATTAATAGATAATGATGCCATTCATCCTCTACAATGCACCCAACACTTTTATGGCAAATTTATGATGGCATACTTTGACAACAACTTGGTGTGTATCTATACTCTAGGAGCTTATTTTCAACAACCAATAAAACTTTGAAACATTGCACCAACAAAAGCTGACATAAAGAAAAGTCATTTCTTGGCAAGCAAGATAAATTGTACATTAGTTTTTGTGCAGAGATCGAGATAGTCGGGGAAAATATCACACCTATTGTGTAATGTCCTACTCAGTCTTTTTCAAATGAATGGAGTCCTCCTGGGCTTATAACATACTAGTGGCATTTCATTAAACATTTTAGTTCGGTGGTTGCTCTCCTGACTTAGTTACTCAAAGGGAACAAATTCATTTAGGCACAAGATGCTCAAGCTAGATCAATCCGATGCCTTGAAACAAAAAGTTAATGAGGTTCGCGCTATTGCACTTCCAAATTTCAACAGTATATTCAATGTAGATTATGATGCCTACAAAGTGAAAATTATGGTCATTCTAAATTGAGGCAGGCGTACAATCCTCTTCTTCAACAAAAATCTCAGAGGCATGCCATCAATACTTCAATTGTGAGAAAATTCTATGTCCTAATTTGCGCCTTAAAGCATTGAAATCATTACCTCCTATAACTATTGGATTTGTCATGTTTTTAGACTATGAAGCCCTCAAGTACCTCCATAATTAAAGCAAAAGTACGGATCACCATTTAAAGTGGGTTGAATTTCTTTCATCATTTCAATACATCTTGAAATATAATTCAAGAGTCCACAATCAAGTTGTAGATACCCTTGGTCACTAACATGCTCTTTTAAATACTCTCCAATTAAATTGGTTGGTTTCGAGAAGATCTAAGAACTTTGTCCCAAAGAAGAAATTTTTGGCAACAAGAAGCAACAACACCAAAAACGAATTTTTTAACAATTTTGATTTCATGATAGATATTTATTTTTTGAAAACATGTTGTGCTCCTCATTGTTCACTATGAGATGCTATCTTGCATGTCTGTCATGGTGAAGATCATGCAAGCCATTGTGGATGAGACAAGTCAACAACCTTAGAACAAGAAAATTTTCATTAACCTTCTTTACAAAAGAATGTTGACCAACTAATCAAGAAATGTCAAATTTGCCATGTTTCCAAATCAAAAAACAAAAGAATCGGATTGTACAATCCTTTATCGGTTCCCAAGTCCTCATGAACAGATATAAGTAAGAATTATGTTGCAGGTCTTCCAAACATAGAATAGCATAAGGATTTAATCATAGTCGTGATAGACTAGTTATCCAAGATGGTGCCCTTTGTTCAGTGTCACAAAACCCATGATGCTTCATGAACTGTTGATTTTAATTCCATGGGAGCATAGGCTTACATGGTATTCTCAAATCTATTATCTCTAATCAGGTTATTCAATTTTTTATCACTTTTTGTGGACATTGTGGTCGAAAATGGTAATTAAGTTTCAATTTAGCTGTTAATATATTATATATGAAAATGGAATTAAGTTCAGACATAAATAGATAGACAAACGAAGAGCATTAATCATTGTTTTGGAAACTTACTACAATGTTTTTTTGTGGACATTGTGGTCGAAAATGGGAATTAAGTTTCAATTTAGCTGTTAATCTATTATATATGGAAATGGGAATTAAGTTTAGACAAAAAATAGATGGACAAACGAAGAGCGTTAATCATTGTTTTGGAAACTACAATGTTTTCTTATTTTTTGTAAGAATTTCAAGCAATAATATCTTATTTTAGCCCAAGTTCAATTTGCTAACAAATGACTCACTAGCGAAACAAGAAGCCTAGTCCTTTCAAAGTGGGGTATGAAAAAAATCCCATCACTCCATTAAAGTTTACTTTAATGAACACTACTATAAAATTACATATACAGGCCAATAGGCAAGCTAACAATTTCAGTAAGGTCCATCATAAAGTATGAGATATGATTATAAAGAAAAAGACAAAAAAACAACAACAAGCAAGAAAATATCATAACTCAACTTCATGTAATGAAGAAGATCCTATTTGGATTCATATATAGAAGGAATGGTTTCCACTTTCCACTGAGTCCCTTCACAAAGCTTTAAGCTCAAGGCCAAGAGTTTCATTTTGCAATGTCAAATGCATTGGAAAGAATGCTTACAAATTTGATTTGTCAAAGGATTCTCATACATCCACTATAATTAATGTAGCATATCTTCAATGTACTACGTTCAAGAAATAGTTCAAGCCTTTGAGGATGAGTTTTCTCCAACCCAAGGAGTATGACATAATCAAGCTCTATGATGAAGGTTATATATGTGTGTGCGCTTTTTTAAAGGGGCTTTTCTTGCTTTTGTGCTGTAGGGTATTTTTGTAATTGTAATTTTATTGGTTTTGGGACTTGAGGTCGATTTAAAGTTGCTTCCCTCTTATAGTTTAATCATACATTTAATATTATTTCAAAATTTTCAATTTTTTTATGGAAGGATTCCATTTTTCCTTAATCATTGAGAACAGCAGCAGTTCGTACTGGAATCTTAAAGTCCATCAGTCAACTGTCCAAAGCTCCACTGGTCTAAGCTGGTTGGAGAGGGGACAGGCAGCAACAATATCACTCTCATGTGGCTTGATAGGGGCCAAGCAACAAAAGCAAGGCTAAAAAATGGGCCACAAAGAATCCAACTTAGTTAATATGGTTACATGCTCTTGACGCATAGACAGAAATAGCCACTATAATTTGAGTAGTTCTTATCACTTGTGACAAACTACTAGCTTATAAGGGGAAATTTGAATTGAATATACTTGTTTGCAAAAGATAAGCCAAAATGAGGCCTATCTGTACAAAAAAGATTGCAACAGAGAATATTTTGACTCATACAAATCCTAAGAAAATCTTTTGATAAATTACAGTTCTTTGACTAGCAAAGAGATTGATAATAAAGAAGAAAGCCTTTCAACCCTGCATTTACTCTCTTCTCATCTCTTTAAGGTAATCATCCCACCAATCTTTTGTTTGACTCAACCTTTCAACCCATTGGCATTCTGAACCTAATTTAAGATTCTTAAATTAATCAGTAGATAGATCTCTATTATACAATACTAGCTAATA